GAGGATCCCAACACCTTCCGATCGCCCATTGCCCAATAGTCCGAGTGGACGGTTTGAAACGGTGGTTCTACAAAAGCATTGTTTCCCATCGTCGTCCTTCCCCATTGGCCTGGGGCATCTCCACCTCCTTTGTGGATATCTAGGAAACCTCTCTCCACCCTGTGGAGGTGGTTCTGCCATCTGTCTACCCCCACACCCACCCTCTGAGATTGTTGCTCAGAAATGGCAGAATCACCCGAAGGCCACTTCGACGGGTGCGGAGGGGTTCAATGGCCACCAAACCCACTCCCTCCTATTGCCACTCACCCACCAAGCATCTCGACATCCTCCGGTCGTCCATCGGTCCGACGGTCCGGGTGGATAGTTGGAAACAGTAGTTCTGCAAAAGCACTGTTTCCCACCGTCGGCCTTCCCTGTTGGCCCGGGGCATCTCCACCTCCTTTGGGGACGTCTAGGAGACCTCTCACCACCTCATGGAGGTGGTTCCACCGCCTGTCTACACTTGCACCCCCCTCCGCGAATGCTTCTTGGAAATGGCAAAATCACCCGGTAGTCGCTCCGATGGGTGCGGAGGGGTTTGATGGCCCCCAAACCCACTCTCTCCTACTACCACTCACTCACCGAGCATCCCGACACCTTCCGGTCGTGCATCGGCCCAACAGTGGGAAACAGTGGTTCTGCAAAAACACCATTTCCCACAGTTGGCCTTCCCCATTGTCTCAGGGCATCTCTACCTCATCTGGGAATGTCGACGGGACCTCTCCCCACCCCATGGAGGTGGTTTTGCTGTCTGTCTACCCCCGCACCCCCTCTGGGATTGCTTCTCGGAAATGGCTGAATCACCCGAAGGCCAATCCGACGGGTGCGGAGGGGTTCGATGGCCACCAAACCCACTCCCTCCTACTGCCACTCACCCATCAAGCATCCCAACACTTTTTGGTCACCCATCGGCTCAATGACAAGGGCATAGAGGCAGTCGGTGTCCTTAGCTTCTCGAACATGAAGGAATATGGTTTTAAATAAGAAGGAGCATTTTTGTACAAAATGTTGTGACGTATACACGTAGGGCTGCAAGTTAGGTCGGGTTAGGTTGAGTTGAGGCTAACCCTAGACCAACCCTAAGTTCTAAACCCCAACCCTAACCCTAACCCAACCCGACCCTCAACCCAACCCTAACCCTAACTAAATTCCTTCAACCCTAACCCAACCCAACCCAACCCGAAGTCAATTTTGGGTTGGGTTGGGCCCAACCCAACCTTCTTCCCATCCTTTAAAACCTCATAGAATTTCTCAATTTTAGATCTTAACTCAACTTTCATTACATATATTAATCCTATGTTTAGTAGTATTTGTTTGTTGACGTTATTTTTTTGTTCTTTTATTACAAAATTCAGAGAAACAAGTGTTAGAAATTACTATAGTTTATTATGAGTTATGACTTATGATAGATATTTCTTGGACAGCAAACAACATAGAAGAGATGAATAAAATTTTCAATAAACATAAAATAATTAATGTTATTAAGGTTTTAGTCTTTCTTATTAGGATTAAGTGAAGTAATTATCTTAAAAGAAATACATGATACTATGTGGTGGGGGCTATACAAATATCATACACCTAAACGAATCAATGTATCTTATATATTAATAATAACATATATTTATATATGACATGTACTATTGACTCGGGTTTGAGTTGAGTCGGGTTGGCTACGGGGTCAAAACTAACCCAATCCGAAGTAAAGTCGGGTTCCTGAATTTCAACCTTAACCCTAACCCGAACATCAACTCGACCCAACCCAACCCAACTTTTTTGGGTTGGGTTTGGGCCAACCCGGCCCAAGTTGCAGCCTTAATACATGGGGTGGAGCATTTTTCTTCGCCTCTCGAACATGATGTATTAGATGCTTTGAGCTGTGGTATCTAATTCCTCTCTCCTTTTTTCGAAAAAAAAATGTTCTATGGGTGAAGGAGTTATAACCAGTGTTCAAAAACACCAATTATTGGGTTACTTTATCTAAGCATTGAATAAATGCTGGATTTTCTTTTGGCAACAGGAAAGCTTAAACAGAAATCTCCAGGTTCATACGTGCACCTAACAAGTTGCTTTACAAGAAAAAATAATAATTTACAAGCAAAAAACAAAACACTAAATTGTGGGCATCTGAATCATGTATCGAGAGTAGACCTGGCAAAAAGTTGACCCAGCATGCTAACCCGACCCAACCCGACCCGAAAAAATAGGGGTAGGGTCTCATATTTAGCTATCCGAATGTGAAAATGACCTGACCCGACCCAACCCGAAAAAATTGGGTTGGGTTGGGTTGGGTCATGGGTCAACCCGCTGACCCGATTGTCAAGTCTAATTGGGATTATTTATGCATTTTTAGAAGTTTTCACTCTTTAATTTTTTTATTTAGTCTTTACTTTTATTGTTTACTCTTTAAATTGTTAAATGTTGAAGTTTTTTATTTTATATTTGAAATTTTAAGGTTAATTCTTTTAATTTTGACACTTTTCATGTAATTTTCTTTACTTTTTTAAATTTCAATTATTTTTTGGGATGATCCGAATTGACCCATCGGTCAATCCTAACCCGAACATTTAGGATTAGGGTCTAAAATTTGACAATCCAACCCAAAATTCAATCCGACCCAAAATCAACCCAACCCACCCAACCCAATTGCCAGGTCTAACCGAGAGTTTTGCATAACCGTGTTCAGATCACTGAGTTTTATTTGGGCATTATGGTCAAAGAGATGAGAGTGAGTGACGTATATCACGTCTGTCGAGTAGAGAGGGGTTGCAGTGGTATTTTGGTTTTATTACTGGATTTCAGCGGTTGGCTTTTCAACTTTGAAGTGTTAGGAGGTTTTTTTTTTTTTATGAAGGGGGTTCAAAATAATATGCATAAGGATTTTTTATGTGAATTGCGAATAAGAATTGTTGGGATTTTATATAATTAATTTATCCATTCTTGAAAACTTTTTGAAGCCTACTCATTATTTAAAATTAATTAAATTTAATCTAAATCTAAATATTTAATTATAATATATAAATAATTACCTAAAATAATAGTTTATTTAATAATTAATTATATAAAACTTTTTTTGAAAGTTAATAACTAATTAAAATTTAGGTTTAGTTTAAAGGAAAAGGTAGGGAAAGGGAAAGGAAATATATATATATAAATATATTAATGATATATTAATGGTCTTTTCGTTGACTATCCGTAAGTAGATTAACAGTTTCACGTGCAAACAACTCATTCGTGTATCCATTGCATGGCATACACGTATCGATTTCTCTTTCTTTCGGTTCTCTCTCGAATCACTTCTCCCATTTCTTCGTCGAGAGAGAATGGATGTGATATCCATTCCTTCTCTCTACTCCCTCTCTGAAGAAACAACAATCTTCTTCTCCGTTTCTCTCATGGAAACTTCCTCTCTCCCCCGCCTTCCGCGTTTCCATCGCTGCTCCTTCGCGCGCCAGGTCGTCTCCCACCTTTGTTTTGGAGGCCATGGACGCAAAACCCATTATCCTCGTGGCCGAAAAGCTCGGACAGGCCGGCCTCGACCTCTTGAAGAACTTCACCAACGATGACTGCTCTTATAACTTGACCCAGGACGAGCTCTGCACCAAGATCTCACTCTGTGACTCCTTAATCGTTAGGAGTGGCACAAAACTAACTCGCGAAGTGTTCGAATCATCCGGTGGCCGCCTTAAGGTGGTTTGCCGTGCCGGTGTTGGAATCGTCCGCTGCCACTGAGCACGGGTGCCTCATCGTTAATGCTCCTGCTTATACTGTTGCTGCCGCCGAGCACGGCATTTCCCTCCTCACTGCTATAACTCGTAACGTCGTCGCGCAGGCTGATGCATCTGTTAAAGCCGGTCGGTATATTATTCTCTTTTTAATTTCTTTTCTTAGCCATTTCTCTAAGGAGTGCGTTATTACGCTTGATCAGACTGAAAAGTTCTCTGGTCTGGTGACGATTACTTGGATGGTTGGTTTGGCCGTTTCTTCGAACAGCTTATATTCTTTTGTTTTTAATTTTTCGTTAGTCATTTTACTGATCAACATGTCGTTACGTTTGATCAGACTAAAAGTTCACGATTATGGTGGCGGTTAATTCTTTGGTTCATGATTTTTCTTTTTGATATCGAGATGATTTAATATATTTAGAGGTACTTTTATGGATTCCTAAGATGGTGATTTTACTGAGAACACTGAAATGTGGATTAAGATCCGACTGTTGACAGGTTATGTTACAAATCCCGGCATTGCTGTATTTTATTAAGATTTTTCCCCAGTTGAAAATAATAACCATAGAATTTAACAGAGTGAATAGTGAAATAGTGGAATTAAGAGCACATGCTCGGAGATTGGATCCAAGCAAACGCTCTTTCAATCTCCAAGGCAGTTGAAGTGTCGACTTTTGGGACTTGTGTTTTAAGAACAAAATGAAGAAACATGATAAGGACAAACATACTTGGACTAAAAATATTGCTCTGATGTGTTTATTTATAGGTGCTAATGTCAATAAAGAAAAAAGAACAGTATGTAGTGATTATCAGAGTGTTTTGATTGAATTGTTGTTGCCAATAAGATTGAAATTTTGATCTGTGCTGGTCTCAAACCACTATGTAGACCCCTGTTATGAAATGTTGCAAATTTGTTTGCTTGGCAATCCAGTGAACATACTTTGCTTTTCTTCATGACTATGGTGCCACTGGGTTTTCCAGTGGACTTCAATATCTATTAGTTATAACAATGTAAGGTTTTTATAATTTTTTCCATGCTTCCATTTCTCCATGTCATCCAGCCCAATATTGTACTAGCGGTTTGATCAGTCCTGGTGATAATTTACAACATTCTAGTGAATGTTGGTCTTTAAGCTTGAACCATAGTTTCAGAATCTCAATTCTATTTTGGTGACTTTAAGCAAGTGGCAACGAAACAAATACGTTGGTGTCCCACTTGTTGGGAAGAAAGTTGCTGTAATGGGATTTGGAAAGGTTGGATCAGAAGTTGCCAGGCGTGCTAAGGGACTCGGCATGCATGTGATTGCACATGACCCATATGCCCCTGCAGACTGTGCTTGTGCAATAGGCGTGGAGCTGGTATCTTCTGATGAAGCCATATCAGCTGCAGATTTTATTTCACTACACATGCCTCTTACTCCTGCAACATCAAAAATTCTCAACGATGAAGCTTTTGCAAAGATGAAGAAAGGAGTTCGCATTGTAAATGTTGCTCGGGGTGGTGTGATTGATGAAGAAGCCCTTGTGAGAGCACTGGATGCTGGAATTGTTGCTCAGGTTCTTAGTCCATTCTCAAGCTTTTTTTTTTCATTATTTGTTAAACTGCAGAATGAACATTGGATGATTTGTTTCTATTTGATGCAAGCAGCACTTGATGTCTTCACAAAAGAACCACCTCCAAAAGACAACAAGCTGGTGCAACGTGAAAATGTAACCGTCACTCCACATCTTGGTGCTAGCACCATAGAAGCTCAGGAAGGAGTGGCAATTGAAATAGCTGAAGCTGTCGTTGGAGCTTTAAAAGGGGAGCTTGCTGCTACTGCAGTAAATGTACCAATGGTTCCTGCTGAGGTATCCTTGCAAATTCTCACCCATGTTACTATCATCTTTATTGAAATTGGAAAACCGGCAAATAAACTTTCTCATAAAATGGTTCCTGCTGCCTTTATTTTTTTTCCCGATTGGTAGTTGTTTTTGACTTTTTCATCAGTTGGATTTGAACATTAGAAATCATTGTTTGGTGCAATGGTAAAATCTTAGGACAAGAAGTCTGATAATGCAGGTTCCAGTTTAGAAGTGGCTACTTTGTGCACATCCAATTTACCCCTCCCAGGACCCTGGATGGTTGGAGCTACCCTTTAGTAATGGCCCTCTAGTTGGCTTTGGAATTTACTTCTGTCGTTCACAAGTCCAGGATATCCAATCCTCTCCATAAATTGTTCAGGTGGAACTTAGTATTACTGGAAACCCTGTACACTTATGGTTTGGGGATGAGCCATCCAATTCGTCACCTCTTGGAATTTTGCAAATTGAAATTTTGACCTACCCTACTGTGTACAATGCCAGCATGGGTAAAGGAAGAAGCCAACTTCCTTTCAAGTTGGCTTATGAGGACAGAAAAACCTGTATCAGTCTGACACTGCTGGGTTAGAACTTGGAATATTAATTGGGGATTGCTAGGATGTATTGCGTTCTTCTGTGAGGTTATTTCCCCTGTGACTGAATCAAGATGGAGAATTCCGTAAAACAATTTCTGGCCTACAATGCTTATGTAAAGCACACTTAATCTAGTCCAACAGTTTGAACCACTTTTTTTTTATAATTTTTAATCTTTTGTTCATAATTATCGTATAAATCCAAAAGTTTGAACTTTGAACTTTGGGAGAAGGACTAGGACTTGTAGCCTTTTCATTTCTAGTCTTGTGTTATGAGGAGCTTGCACCATTTGTTGTACTAGCAGAGAAGCTTGGCAGACTGCCTGTAATCAAATTCTTTCTGACTACAAGTTCTATCATGTCATCAAATTCTTTCTGACTACAGATTCTATCATGTCATTAAACGCACATGGTTTGTGTAAAAGTGTTGAGGGATTGGCATTATAAAGTTATGGATAAGAGCCCCATTAAGAATTCAGAGAGACATCCTAAAATATGTAATCAATTTTTTAGTCTACACTGCAAGTAGTATGTGATAAACAATTGATGTTATTTTTTTAGGCAATTTCTTAGTTTTCCCAAACCATGTGCTAATTTCCTGTTCGTCATCAGTTAATATTTTCATGTACTTTATTTCTTTGTTTTGAGATATTTTGTTATCTTATTGCCTTTTAAGATTTAATTATTTATAGCATGCACTTATTCTTGGACTAAGAATAATTTTTCTGTTATGTCTTCCACTTTATTAGGAGGCATATTGAGGATTGCAGATATACTATAGTGTTTCTTTTTTTTTGAGTCATCAAAAACTTGGTCAAGCTCTTCTTATGTAAAAAATTGATGTTATGTAAAAAATTTATGTAACCTTTGTAATTTCTATAGGAATTATTGCTAACTCTTTCTATATTATTATTTTGGATTTGTTGAACACTTTGAAATTCATGTTTGAAGGAATTCTATATTGTTCGCTTTGGAAGCACAAAAATCTGCTGAATTTTTCTTATCAAATATGAAATGTCATCCTTTTGTCTTTTGATCTTGCAAGAGACCAAAGGTCTTTGGCCACATATTTACCAAATGCACCCTAACACTAATATTGTAGATTTTGGGGTTCGTGGTTTGAGGAAAAAGGTTTATTGTTGTTGGATTCATGTAGCGGATCCATACTCATCTTCTCATTCTATTTTGAATATGCAATAGCTGTTGGATTCAAGTAGCTGACCCATACTTATATTCAAGAGTTGTTTATAAATAAGAGGTGGAAGCTGTTGGAATGGGCCTATGAATTTTGTACTCTACCCATCCCTGTTGATCTTTATACCCATAAATCTTCAGCTACCTGTTGCATCGCATGTTCTCCTTTTGTGGTGATGCCTTCTCATCAATGGATGAGGTTGACTTTGTTTTCTCATTATTTATATGTTAAGTGCAATTTAATAAAAAGAATTCATTTTCATGTATTGTAAATGCGCTACAATTTGTAACTGATGATGACTACTTGGTCTATCCAATGCAGTGACTAGAATTCAATCATACTTGTCTCATGTTCTACAGTTGAACCGATAACCAGTTGTTCCTCATGTCCTTTCCTTCTTCTCGCCGGAAGAACTCGAGCAACCCGGATTCACTACCGTCAGTTATCTCATTGTGATGGACATCTCTTCAATGACAGCACCTCAGCACAGCCCTCACATAAAGCCTTCCCCAAATTCAGTAGTTTCATCTCCCAGAGGTCTGTTCCTCTGTCCAAGATTCTTCTTCTTTTTGTTTCTTATTCCTAGATTTCTTCTTCGTTATGTTTCTTTGTTTAATTGTCATTCTTATTCCTAGATGATGTTCTTTTTGTCGTTTTGGCATCTCCATCGATGCTATCTAATCCCCGTCTTCTTCCTCCTTTCTCCCCTTTCCTTTTCAGACTTCAGAAGGAGCTGATGTCTCTCATGGTATGTGATTTCTCTTATTAGGCTCTAGAAGGAGCTGATGTCTTTTCAGAATTTGAGTTTTCTATCTTCAAATTCTTTGTTTTGGGTCATTAATCAAAAGTCATAGTTCGATTCTTTCTACACAAAATTGGGTTTCCATTATCTTGAATTTCTTATAAGTTAATAATATCTGAAAACTATTGAATAATCTACCTTGGTGGGAAGAGATATTATTTTTCCTTTTTTTCTTCTTTACTTTTTTCATGCAATCTTGAAATTAGCTTTGCAGGGGCGGAGCCAGGGGTGGCGGAGGGGATTCACGGCCCCCCTATCTTGTTGGTTACATGTTAAAAGCAAAAACAATTGTAGTTTTTTGGCATCCTATTTTCATTTGCTTTGTTCTCTGGATGCAAAATTCTAAATTGTTGGTCCACAATAATTTCAGTCTTAAATACTTAAAAAGGAGTTCGCATGTTCAAGAAACCATTCCCTGAATAACTGGATTTTCCCTCTCTGCAAATTAATCTTGGCAGCCCTCCTAGAAGTTACAAGTCCCTTTTATTTGTACACATTGAGTTTCTGGTGCTTGCAATATTGTATAAGGGGTTCATGACCTAACTTTGTTCTTTTGTTTGCTAGATGTTTGGGGTTATCCCGGTCAGTGCTACTGATGTAACAAATAAAAAAAAGAAATAAAAAAAGTTCTTATTTTTGCTTTTCTCAACTTGAAGTCTTTTTGTGGATATGTGGAGTCGCTATGGGTTATTTTCTTTGTCGGAAAATTAATAGTGATAAAAAAGAATATAATTCAGAAAACTTCATTGGATTTGAGTATGTGGGGATAAAATAATAGGAAAATTTACTTGCTAAACTTTTGTTTGAAGAGATAATAACTAGGTCCTTTATTTATACTAAAAAGTTTCTGCTAATAGAGAGTTTTGCTTTCCTTGGATTTTGTGCTTTTACTAATTCATCTAATTTTGTGATGGCTGCAGGTGGCATGATTTGTTAAGTATAGTTATGAAACAAAAATGGGTTCAATTCTACAAACCATTCTTTTTTTACGAAGATTAAGGGTGGAAGACTTCAATTATACAAATTTACAAACATTTTAAGGTGATTGTAATGGAAGGGAATATAACATTTCTTCGTTCAATTATTAGAGGACAAACACCAACACATTGTGATTTTGATTTTTTATTTATTGTCTTACTTGAATATAAAGCATTTATTTTCTAGCTCTTGACAAAATCATTTGCAAGTATTTATTTTGAATATAAAGCATTAAAGCATCCGGAGATCATTATCCTGTCATTCGCCCCTGCTTTGCAGGGGCCACCCCGCTAGTTTTAAATAACTAAGCAATCATCGGTGGCCATTTCAACTACCAATCTACCATCCGAACCAAGAACCAGGAAGTTGTACAAACCAGCTGCTTAATCGTTCTTTCACAAATTTCCTGGAGGCCCACCACCAAAAATAGCACAACCATCGTTATTTCAGTTACGAGAAGCTGAAAAGAAATCCAACGCGATCACGTATATAAAGCAAAGCAAAGGTCGGTGATCATCGAGCAAGGAGGAAGAAGAAGAAGATCGAGAATGGCGTCTTCTATCAAGCTCGTGCTCCTCAGCGCTCTTGCTGTTCTCCTTCTCCTTCCTTCGTCGGGTGACTCGGTGATCACCACCAAAGGATACGTCACCGACCACGGTGGTCCTCTCCTCAAGGGCGACGTGAACCTCGCCATCTTATGGTACGGCAACGTCGGTCGCATCCAGCAATCAGTCATCCTAAAATTCATCGGCTCGCTTAGCAAATGCAACCCCAACCTCGATCCACAAGTGTCGACGTGGTGGAATATGGTAGAAAGTTATCAAAGTGCAGGCAAGCGTCGGCATGAGGGTGAGGGCGACCTTAAAAAGGACGCTCCGCCAACTCCAATTCGGGTGCGTATCGTGAATCAGACAGCCGACCGATCATATTCTTTCGGCAAAACCATAACCCCGCATTTGATACCCGATCTTGTGAAAAAAGCAACTGAGGGAGCTTCACCGTCAACCGTGGCTGTCATCCTCACGGCGAGAGATGTTTCGGTCAAAACTCTGTGCACCGGCAAATGCTCAGAGCATGGGTCGGTGGGTAAAGGGTTGTCGTCTCAATTGTATGTGATGGTCGGGAACCCAATGGATGAATGTCCTCAGGATTGCGCTTGGCCCTTCTATAAAAGCGTGTTGAGGCCAGTCACATTCTCAATGGTGCCACCAAATGGAGATGTGGCAGCTGACGCCATGGTCATTAGCCTTGCCCAAGCGCTTGCTGGTCTGGTCACAAACCCTTACCACAATGGCTACTTCCTGCAAGGTTATAGGCATCAGATCGAGGCCGCCACAGCTTGTCCAAACATGTTCGGAAGTGGCGCATTCCCGGGTTACACCGGCAAGATGCGTTTTGATCCAAGGACTGGTGGATGCTTTAATGCACACGGGCCGGCTGGAGAGAAGTTCCTGCTCCCGGCATTATGGGACCCAGCCACATCCTCATGCTGGACCCTCATCTGATCTGATTACTACTTGCTTCTCCGTTTACTCCATGTTGGAGTTTAGCCTTGTGGCGTGTGAGAAAGTGGGAGACAAAAGAAAGAGGATCATGTTTCTTGAAATGTTGAAAAGTTTATTACAACTCTTGTATATATGTGTGTTTATGTAAATTTGTTAAACTATTCTTGTTGTTTAGTTAATTGACTAACTCTAATATCCCTAAGTGTTCTGATAATTGTCTAAAACCTTTTTGCCATTAAAGTGGTTAATGGGAAAACAAAAAAGACTATTTTACTCATTATTTTACTTCAAATTTTTACAATGCTTCGTCAATACGTTTGAGATAGCTAGCAATGGCAAGACAAAAGGGAGAATTAAGCATGTAAATTAACTTAAAGACATGTCGAATCCATGGTTTTTGAGTTCCATGTACTCTTGACACAGCAAGCATGACTCGTAACAGCAATAAACCAGGTATTCGGCACAAGGGTGTAAAGTGCTCCATCGGTTCCATAGGTTGCACTCATCTCATATTTATTGTTAGCATCATTTCAAATTTGGAAACCCAGAAATCCAGAATTCACCACTTCATCATAAAAAATGTTTAACTGTTATACTCACAAGAGGTTCCTTTGTCGATTATCACTGAGATCTAGCCGAAGGTAATGCATGGAAACCAACATGTCACACAACCTGTTAAAAATGGTGGAGACACATCGAGTCATGAAGAATTAAATTGGATGAGTTCAGAGAGTAAAACAAGAGCTAGATAACCCAGAATTCTTATTGTTCAAAACATCGTCAAAGTAGTCGCATAGACCAATGGACCAATCAATTGGGGCCTGAGCTTGAACTAGAATGGCAGACAGGGGATTATTCTGATTGTATTGTTCTGCTTTTTCTGAATACATCTTTCAATCAAACAAGACTCAACACTACACTACTTAAGAGAGGTTTATTCAGCTAAAGATAGAACGTAGAACGTAGGAACTTTGAATTGGGTATATATAGGAGGAAGATTGAAGCCAAGAAGGAATGGTCAAATTTGGCATAACTGTGTGGGGTATGGCAAGTTGTCGGTGTATAGCAGAATCTAAGCATTAAGCAGGCTATGCAGAACCTAAGCAAGCTGTCACAGCATGGATTTTAAATTAGCAAAGCCATAGAAACTATGGTAGATGAAGGAGGAGACGAAGTAGTAGCGACAATCTGAAGTTTGGGATCCTCTTGTTGGGTGCAGGTCCAGCCCATATGAGGGGCTCACCCCACCTTTTCATACTCCCAAATAGGAGCCGTATTGTGGAAGCCAAGAAGGGGCTCCCACCTTTTTGATTTGTAAGCACCGAGGTGAGAAAGAAAAAAAAAATAGAAAGGGAATTGAGGGTTTTTCTGAGTTTTAAATTTTGTGAAGAAGAGAAGAAAGGGCTGGTTTCTATTTCATTTAAGGCCAAGCTTGGATGTGTTTTCAAGCCCGTTCTTGATGTGATTAAGTGTTGTTCAAGGAGTTAAGAATCTCACTCCAATTTAAATTGGTTGTCTCTTCCTTTCTTCTTAGTTTCATATTTACAACAAATTGGTGAGATCCAAACCTTTGTTTTTGTTGAATCCACCTTATATTTGGTGATGTTAATGATGTACTTGTAAGCCAAGAATTATTTCCTTTATGTTTGTAAACCTCTATTTGTTATTAGAGATGACTGTTGTACTCATTAATTTCTGAATTAGTGGAAGATTTTCACGGAACATAGGTCTCATAGTTTTTCCCCAATTTTGGGGTTTAATTTCCACGTAAAAATTCCGATGTGCTATTGTGTGGTGACTACTATTTGTATTTTCTCTTGGCTGAATTGTTTAGCTGTTGTCATTGTTGTTGACAAACCCATTTTAACACACAAACTTAGGGGAAAGTTTCTTGTTGCCTTGGAATTGCTTTTCATACTCATTTCTGCTACAGTAGTGTAGCTTCCCCAACAATGGTATTAGAGCTAGTTAGCTTAAATTAATTGTTTGTGTTGATATAAATGGAGGAATCTTCGGGTGTTATGATAAAATTGACCTCATCGAACTATGCCATTTGGAAACCTAAAATGGAGGGCATTTTTTATTGCAAACATTTGTACCTACCCATAGGAGGCGATGAAGCAAAGACAAGTGATGAATGGGGAATTATGCATAGAAAAACTGTAGGCCAAATCTAGCAATAGATTGACCATAGTATTTTTCACTATGTTGCACAAGAAACTAGGTATGATGTTTTATGGAAAAAATTAGGGTCTACGTATGAAAGGAAAACTGGTTTAAATAAGGTTGCCTTGATTAGAAAAATTGCACACTTGAGATATAAAGATGGGACTAACAAGTCTAAAAATTTGAGTGATTTTCAAGCTTTGATAAATCAATTGACTACTATGAAATTGAATCTAGACGATAAAGTGTAGGCCTTGCTGTTACTTAGTTCCTGGCCTGATAGTTGGAAAATCTTGGTGGTTTCAGTTAGTAAGTCATCCCTTAATAGAATAGTAATCATGGACACAGTCAAAGATGCCTTGTTGAATGAAGAGTACAGGAGAAAAGAATAAGAAACTTACTCAAAATCTCAAGTTCTTATTACAGAAAAGAAAGAAAGACAGGAAAGAAGTAAGAGCAGAGGTCTCTATAACAAATATGATAAATCTAGAGGAAAATCCAAGTCCAAGAAAAATATTATTTATCATCACTATAATAAACTATGACATTATAAGAATGAATGCAGGACTTAGAAAAGAGAACAATCCAAAGGAAAAGGTAAAGGCAAGAAATAAGAAAGAGATACTACAGTTGTTGCAGCCGAGGGTGATGTCATTATTGTTTGTGAAGATAACTATGTCAACTCTGAATGCCTAAATAGTGATTGTGTTATAGATTTTGGTGCTTTCTTTCATGTTATTCCCCATGGTGAATTTTTCACATCTTACACTATAGGTGATTTTGGACATGTTTGTATGGGGAATGCTGGTGCATCCAAGATTGTTGATTTTGGAGATATTTGTCTAGATAGCAATATCGGTTATAAATTTCTTTTGAAAAATGTTAGACATGTTCCTAATATTTGCCTTAATCTTATTTCCACTAACATGTTAGATGATGAAGGTTATGCAAACACCTTCAGTGATGGAAAATGAAAACTCAATCGAGGTTCACTCATTGTGGCAAAGGGAAAAAAGCGCAATACCCTTTACGTGATGCAAACAAGGTTGAACAAAAGAGAGGTGAATGCGGTTCATGATTCATCCATTGAGCTTTAGCACCAAAGACTTGGACATTTAAGTGAAAATGATTTCAAATACTTTCTACAGAAAATCTTCTTCCTAATGTGAAAAATATGCCTCTTGAAACGTGTGTACATTGCTTAGTTGGCAAACAGGGTAGAGTTGCATTTCATAAATTACATCCATCTAGAAAGCCTCATGTTTTAGATTTAATTAACACCGATGTTTTCTATATAAAAGATAGACCACTTGGTGATGCATTATATTTTATGACATTTATTGGTGACCACTCTAGAAAAGTGTGAACATTTGCCCTGAAATCCAAAGATTAGGTATTGGATGTTTTCAAGTATTTTTATGCCAAAGTTGAAAGAGAAATAGAAAAATAGTTGAAGTACATCTGAGTTGATAATGGTGGTGAATATAGGGGTCCTTTTGAAGAATATTGTAGGATCCATGGTATCAGGCTTGAGAAAAGTGTTCCAAAGACTCCCCAACACAATGGAGTAGCAGAGAGAATGAACAAAACAATTACTGGCAGAATCAGATGTATGCTCTCTTATGCTAAATTACCTAAATCCTTTTGGGGTGAGGCTATGAAAACTATAGTTGACCTCATCAACCTTTCCCCTTTAGTTCCTTTGAATAGAGATACTCCAGAGAGAGTTTGAAAGTGTTTGGTTGCAAGGCATTTGTTCATATTCCTAGAGATGAAAGATTCAAGCTTAATGACAAGGCTAAATAGTGCATCTTCTTAGGTTATGGGCATGAAGAGTTTGGGTACATGTTATGGGATCCAATGGACAAGAAAGTGATTAGAAGCAATGATGTTGTATTTCTTGAGGATCAAACAATTGAAGATATGGAGAAAATTAAGAAACCAAAATCCTCTGTTGATATTCCAATCAACTTGAATCCAGTTTCCCCACCTACAATTGATGGTGATCACAAGGGACCTGTACCAAATGAATAGGATGATGTAGTTAATGATAAAACTCCTGTAAATGAAAATAAAGAGGAAGTACAGAATGAATAGGTACCTCTAGCCTCTTCACCACATGTTTAGCCTAGAAGATCCACTAGAGAGAGAAGACCCTCCACTAGGTATCCTCCACATGAATATGTGATGTTGATAGATGGGGGAGAGTCATAGACTTATCAAGAGGTTATGTCACATGACAAGAAAGATAAGTGGCTGAAATCAATGCATGAGGAATTAAAATCCTTGCATGAGAATCACACCTATGACTTGATGAAATTACCAAAGGGGAAAAGGGCATTCAAAAATAAATGGGCTTATAAATTAAAATCTGATGAGAGTGGGTTACAACTAAAATACAAGGCAAGGTTGGTTGTAAAGGGTTTTAGTTAGAAAAATGTGTCGACTTTGAAGAAATATTTTCTCCTATGGTGAGAATGTCTTCTATTTGAATTGTACTTGGACTAGCTGTAAGTCTAAATTTGGAAGTTGAACAACTTGCTGTGAAGACTGACTTCCTTCATGGTGATTTGGAAGAAAAAAATTATATGGAGCAAACAGAGGGGTTCAAAGAAAAAGGCAAAAAACATTTGGTGTGCATGTTAAAGAAAGGTTTGTATGAGTTAAAACAAGCACCAAGGTAATGGTACAATACATTTGACTCCTTCATGGTTGATCATGGGTACACCAGGACCACTTCAAATCATTGTGTACTTGTAAAGAAATTTTCTGATGGTGATTTCTTTATTCTCTTGCTTTATGTTGATGATATGTTGACAGTTGGCTATGATTTTAATAAGATTGATATGTTGAAAAATGAGCTTAGCAAGTCATTTGCAATAAAAGACTTAGGGCTGGCTAAATAGATTCTTGGTATGAAAATATCTCGAGACAGACAAAATGGGAAGTTATGGTTATCCCAAGAAAAATTTCAGCTTAATCCTTCCAAACGGGCCCAAGAGGGTGAAGCAGACATCCTTTCAAATGACTAAACTATCATGGGGCTAAACGTCAAGGCCTTGTGTGTAGTGCTTAAATGGGTCAAAGAAGCATATGAAATAAAAAAGAAAAAACAACACAACAAAGGCAATAAAAATGAGACACGAGTTAGTGAAATGACACTTTGTATTGCATTAATAAGGTAAGTGCGTATACACTATTTATGTGTTAGGGGCCTCCATACTTGACCTTTATATCTCAATTTGCTCTTGATTACTCACCTCCCCTTATAGAGGATGCTAAACTTTTGGGGATTTGGCAAGAGAATACATCAAATCTTAAAAAGTCATACAGATAATTACAATAATATCATTGGCATTCCTATATACAAAATGTATATAATGCCCACCCAAGATACACACTATGACGTTTGGATAGCATGTTATCAATTGTGATAGTCTCCCCCACTTAATTTGATATACGACTTCAATGATCTGCTTCAACTTGATCACTAGTTCCACCCATAAGGAAGGGAGATTCTTTAGTTGCTCCATAAACATTTACTTTACCAAGGCCTAGGCACATGCTTAGGTGGTAGGTTTGTAGGTTCTTCCTTGGGGTATCTATAGCTAAGGTTTTAACTAAGTCCTTGGATAACTATTTGAAGATAAGTCGTGTGGGGTCCAAAATTCTTTACACTAGTATTAAGGATTTTCTTTAAACAAAAGTAAAGTTTGGATTGTGGGATTGTTGGTCTTAGTCTTTATTGGCAATTACTTAAGGTTATTTCCCCACAAGGCTGCTATGGTGGTTAGTTTTGGTTTAAATATGGGTATGGCCTTTATTTAGGGATGGCTTACCTTTGATTCCCATGGTGGCCGAGTCTCTCCCCTTGGTAAAGGTTTGTGCTTGGTGAGGGTGGATAAGGTCTTCTGGGACAGGCCTAGGGTCTTCTCTTGGGTCCACTAGTTGGAGGTTGTGGTTTCTATTGTCGCAATAATGGTGCTAACAAAGCCTTATTCCTTATAACGTCTTGTTCAGTTCTTGTAGTAGTGAATATTGCTTCTAGTTGGAGTTGAAGTGTTGGGATCTGCTTCTTCAATGTGTCATTCACTGCTATCATGGTAATTAATAGGGGAATGTTTGTCTAGCATCAACAAGGTGTCTAGGTATGGAGTTGGTGCCACCTTTTCTTTATGTCAAAAAGTTTATGCATAAGACAACATTGAAAATGGTCGTATGAATAATGGAGAGATTGTGTCAATTTGGAGTCTTACTTAGCAAGCCATGCCTTTAATGGGTTTGGCATCTATGTTGACAACTTTGAGCTATTCTAGTTCATTTGAAATGATTGAATTGAATTATTTGGCTTTAAAAATAGATATGAAATGACAAAGTTTAGATGTAACTCCTTTTTTAGCATGGTATTGAATAGTTGAAGGGTGTCCACTCTAGGCAATTGTGTACTCCATTCCTCGTCACTCTACTCATTGTTATTGAGTTTGGCAATAAGAGCATTTAGCTTCTCTTTTAGGATAATTATTTGTCAAATGTTGGTTGAACATGATATAGCATCATAAGCACATGGATAATTGTTTATCAATAAGAGCACAATTATCATTGTTAGTACATCTTCTACACCACCATGATATAGCAACATCAATCAAATACATGATAGTTGTATATACTCAAATCGTTTTTATTATTAATGTTAGTTGCAACAATATATTGTTTCATTTGCCACAAGAAATTATCAAGCTCCTAAGCATCGTGACTTGTGAGTGCCCGAATAGGGAGTTGGGTCCCAAATTTTGATATGGGATGGAGTGAGCATGATTGAGGTACTAGTTGGATTGGTAATTGCTTTCTTCATGATCACACACTCGTCCTCTATTTCATTTAGTTAGGCTTAGATGTTGGTGGAGGTACACATGGTTGACTTCATGATAGTCCATTTTCTTTCAATCTCATTCAATTGGGCGTAGAGATGGTCATTGGTGTGGACATGATTTTCTTCCATGTTGCCTATTCACTTCTCATTTCATTGAGTTAGACTACTATGTCTTGAACATTGAAGTAGGATGAACTTTCTTCTTGTTGATGGAGGGTTCCATTCAGAATGTCATGATGGACTTTGTTTATAACCCCACTTAGGCATCCCTCCAATTCCACCTAATCACGTTTCACCCACAGTGACTTGATAGCATGACATGCCTATGTCAATCGTTGCAAGTTTGTTAGTAGATTTCTCACTTTTGCTTGTTTGGGATACTTGACCTTTGGGGGTTTGTCTTCAATGGAATCATCATCAGATGTATCATCAGCCTCATGGACTTGGGAATTATCAACCTGCATATCTTTTATGATATTTTTATTGTTATTCATTGTGTTATTAGATGAGGGTCAATTGTATGGGTATGAGCTTCTATCAGATACCAACTATCATTGGAGTAATTGTCAAGGTCCCATATATCACTCAAATGGGTCGGAAAAGTATGAAATAAAAAAAATCAATAAAACAAAGACAACAAAATGACACACGAATCAGTGAAATGACAGTAATTTGTATTGTATTAATAAGGTAATTACGGATGTTAAATTTTTGAAAGTCTGATATAAGAATGTATCTAAATATTGAAAAAAGTTTTACTAATAATTACAATAATTCTAATGCCATGAATTCATACATATGTCCCACCGATAAACACGATCACACAATGTTGAGACAATGGCGGCCAATTTGGGCTGTTCGTGTAGGGCCCACTTCGGAAAGCCAGAAGCCGCTGCGCTTTAGCCCTGCCAAACGAGCACAAAGTTCTTTTCTGTTCTTCAACTTCTTTTACTTCTGCTGGCGACCCTCGGTCCTAGGCTACTCTATCGGCTTGCTTATTCAAACTTCTTCGATGTTTCTCTCTCACTGAGCAAACTCGGCTTCACTCTCATCAGACTCCTTTTGGAGAATCTGTCCGGACGAGAGGATGGATTCTTCTGGGACGACGCTCATGGATCTCATCACGGCAGACCCATCGCCGATGCCTTCCACCTCCTCCACTGCGTCAGCCACCAGTCCCAAAATCAATTTTGCGGCGGCTCCTCCTTCTACACTCGGCAAACCGGCAGCACCAACAGATCGAAAGCCGAAGAAAAGCACCTTTATGCAGATCCAATCCGAGACCATTTCTGTCGCCAAAGCTTTGAATCCCGTCAGAACCAACATTATGCCCCAGAAACAAAAGAAAAAGGTAGGACCAATGAGCTACTTCTCTCTCCACTCCTACCCCAAATAAATTCACCATCATAAACCAGTTGCTTAATAGCACATTTAGTCGGCATTACTGAAGCTGATGTCTTTTCAGCCGGTTTCATATTCACAACTTGCTAGGAGCATTCATGAGCTTGCTGCAACATCTGATCAGGTAATTATTAGTTGATGTACAATTGCTCTCTCTCACTCTCTCACTCACAAACATACCATTCCCATGTTATTAACATGAAATTTCATTTGTATTTTCATTTTCATTTTTTTTTTTTAAATTTCATTGCAGAAAAGCTCCCAGAAGCAGTTAATTCATCATGTTTTCCCGAAGCTTGCAGTTTATAATTCGGTTGATCCTTCTTTGGCACCGTCTCTTCTCATGGTATGCCTATATATATATATTTGCCATCTAAAACATTCTGTTTCGGCCTTGTTAATGTAGAAGATATCGAAAAAGCAGAATTGTATTCGTATATTGAGATTCAGAGTTCTGTCATATACAATTCTGCTATATAAAATTCAAGTTTTCATGATGGAACATGTATGGGAATGTATTTCGAGTGTTTGGTTAGTTGGATTTACTTGTACTAATTCCCATAATTACTATTTATAGTAAAATCATTATTTACCATTTTTAGTAATTCCTAGTTTCTTTACGTTAAGCTAGCTTTAGAGTTGTTTAGGGTTAGTTTCCTAGTCCAAATTGTAGTATGTAAAGTGACATCCGAGTTCTTATGTTAAGTCTATAAATAGAGCCTTTGTAATTATAATTCAGGAAAGTTGATTTCTATGGTGGCTGACCTGGGCGTGGGGCCACAATGGAAGTCTAGGGGGAAGGAGTCACGACCTAATTTTTATACAAAAATTATGAAAAAGAGGTGGAATAAATGACTCCAAAATAACTGAATCTAACTGGTCTAGGTAAGGGATGTGGAAGGGGTTAGGCAC